CTCGAATGCCAGAGGTTGCCCGGTCTTGCAGGGTGCAGCCCCCCTGAAGTGCAGCCGCCTCTCGGTAGCCCAGATTGGACCCGGTTGCGCGTAGCCGCCGGCCCAGCCGGGGCGGAATGCAAAAACGCTCGCCAAAGGCCACCAGCACAAACGTCTCGGCTGGGCTGCTTTTAGAGCATTGCTCAGATCCATGGATTTTCAGAGTCACTGCAACTTGGGCTTTTGTAGCCGCCTTTCTGCTTCTTTGCGCTCTCGGGTTTAGGGAAGCCCCTTTTCTGTAGCAATGGGATCTATTTCTTGATCTGTAAAATCAGTGGCAAAACCACCTTCTCATCCATTCAGAGCAGAAGCAGGCCTGAGGACACTAACACCAAACAAATTGCTAATCTGGCTTCTGTCCCCCAAATGGGAGTGTGCAATTGACTCTTATTTCTGCGGGTACAGCCACCTGCAAGCTACCAGGAGTGCACTGACCCACACGTGTAAGGTACTGTTGTAATGGAAGACTCAACGGTTTAACTGCCTGTTTTGAAATGAGAATGTGTGGTCTCTAATTTAACTGCAAAAATGGGCCAATACTTTCCGTTTTGAACTGGAAGTGGAAGCTCATGAAGGACAGAATCCTGTATCTATGGGGAGGCCTGTCAGTCTTCAGAGTCAGTCAGAGCCTTATGGCTTGTTTTCACACAGATTTGCATGTATTCAGTTACATTTGTGAAAACCCTTATGTGGACATTTTAAAATGGCCTATTTTGGTTGGGGGAGAGGAAATTTTTTGAGCCATCTGGAAGAAATGGAGCTCACTTTTGATGTGATCCATTCATTGTGACCCGCAATTAAAATTTTACAAAGGTCACCCCAAAAATTTGTACGGTCTGAATGCTACTGTACGAAAGAACTAGGGTGATTTTCAAAGGTGCTGACTAGCTGCTACTCAGTTCCATGACACTAATTGGTACTCATGGTCTCTAAAAATCAGGTCATTTTTTAAGTGGTAATGGAAAACCTAAGGGCTGGGGGCCGGATTCAGCCAGTGGCTTGCCTGGATCTGGCCTCTGAGGTTCTCGGGCTCCCCCCTTCAGTATTGGGAAGCCTGCGCTGGTGCTCCAGCCCTCCTGCCACCCCACTGCAGAGCTGGCATACACAGTCTACTAGCTTGGGCCCCACTAGTCCCTGCTGTGTGACGGGAATGTGGGGAGTGTCTTTCTCCTCAGTTGGGGGCCACATCAATGAGGGAGTATGGGGTTTTTTCTTCTCAACTGATTTTTCTATGGGTCAGCAGCCCCTGATCCAAAAAGGTTCCTGTCCCCTCTTTTAGGGTGTCCAAATATGGATTTAAGAACTTAACTTTAGGTACCTACGTTTTGAAAATACTTGGCCTTGGATTGTTTTCTTTCTTTCTTATTCCTTTCCCCTCTTGTCCTTTGTTGTCACATTTAAAGAGAATAGTCAACCAAATATACTTTAGTTATTATTCAACCAGGCAAAATGTACTCCAAATATTATATGATGCTGTTTCTGCTGGTAGGTGATTCCTATAGAATTTTTGGCACTAATGGACAGAGATCTTGTAGATAGATTTTTCTTACCAGCTATTTGCCTTTAAATAGGGTGGCTGGTTTTTTTTATATTAGCTACTTCTCTGATTTGTAGAGCATTATAGTGCCGAGAATTCCATTAATAACTGAGCTGAAGTGTCTATATGTCACAAGCATCATATGTGCCGTTCTGAAAATTAAGTCTATCTTTACCAGGAATGTAATTACCAGTTTGTCTACATTGTTGCATTTGACATTTTCTCATTGCTGATATTTTTGAGAGCCACCCAAAAAGGTTCTATTATTAGTTATTATTTATATTACTGGACTGCCTAGGAGCCCTAATCATGGACCAGCACCTCATTTTGCTAGGCAATAAATGGCAGTCCTTGAGGAAAATAATTTACTAATACAAATGTCCAGTTCTTCTTTGAATAGTGTCCCTCTGGGTACTCCACCTCAGGTGACGGTCTGTCCTTGGGCTACAGATCAGAGACTTTTGGCTTTAGAGTTTGTTTGGGGGAGAGGAGTGCACGGTAGTCATCTCCTGGAGTACGTACAACCCAACCTGTTCATTTCCTTCTCAACCCTCCTTGGCTGCTGTGGAGCTCAGTAACAGTGCTGCCTTTTTGTTTTTTCTCTATAGAAATATATAGATTCGTTGTAGTTTAGTAATTTAATTTATGTCGTTAGATACTGTTCTTCCCAAAAAAGCCAACTTTGTTTAATTGTTAGCTTTTCAACCCTTTTCCTATTGGGGGGTTCTAACAGCCACGATGTCTAGTTTGCCCACATTTAAATGCTGTGACGCTTGCCAGGAAGTAATGCCCATCTCCGATAGTCACTCATTTTGTCCGGTCTTTGGGGGAGACTCATAGCTCTCAAAAGTGTGTGCACTGTAGCAACCTGAAAGCCAGGGCGTGGCGTGACAAAGGCCTCCATCTGAAGATGATTTTGGTAGAAAAAACCCTTCAGCCTTCTCCGCAGTGACCTCCCCTCATAGGGACACTCAGAAAAGGTCCCTACTGTGGTCGCTGTCCTAGGTGCCGAGCTTGACTAAAGTTAGTACTTTTGACACTCTAGGCACCTCTCCTCCGTGGCCCTCTACCAGGCTCTACCGTACTGGCATGGAGTTGAACCACCACTCCTCCGCCACAGCACCGACCACTCCAATGTGGATTCAGCAGCCAGACCAGTGCCTCTGGCATGCCGCCGCCACTGGCACCAACTCAGTTGGAAGCCCTGATGGGACAGACCAAGAATGGCACTGACCATCTTGACCAAGGCCGACCACAAAATGGTCACTGCACTGGCAGCACCTGTACCAGTAGCATGATGCCACAGAAACTAGAAGCTCTGCCATACTTTCTACACCACAGGGACCTAGCAATCTCCCTTGGTGCCAGTTGTCTTTGCTCAGCACTGAGGGATCCTCAGGGCCAACAAGCAGAACAGCTATCCCTTCACCTGCTCCTTAGCCTATCTCCAGGTATGAAGAGGAGTTACAGGAGAGAGATTTCTCTTCCTGGTACTCTTCACTCATGAGAGAGAGTCATCCAATGGTAGCAATCTTTGGTCACTATCAAATGGAGCTAGATTCAGACTATTGGTTTAGAGTCATCTGGTTCTGTGTCCTGAGCCATCAAGTTTTTTTTACTGTGGGTTTTCTCAGGCTTGTGGCATGATGCTATCAACCAAAGCAATGGGGCAGGATTGATCATGGAAAGAAATTTTGAATGAATGAAATAATCTTGAGCTGCTAATTGCTGCTCTAGACAGAAAACTAAACAAAACGGAAGCATGTTTAAACAATCTAGAAAGTGACATTGGTGGTGTCAAGCTTCAGACCACACATAGATACACATACAAATACTCTCTCTCATGAAATTGCATGAAAAAGTCGGAAGTTTACTACATATGCTCCTGCAGTTGATGGGATCATTGCCATGTTGTTTTGGTCCAGGCTTTATTTTTTGTTAAAGGTTTTACAAAAGCCAATAATAGAAATAGCTTCCTGCAATGTAAACTAAATAAAATTAAAACCAGACTACTCAGCTATAAACCTCCCCGGGTGTGTCTGCAACTAGATCTGAGCAATTAATACATAATTTGTGCTGAATTGAGCCTTCAATGTGTGTGAACCTTTTTCAGTGTTCTTGAATGTACTGTATCTTGAATGTACAGGGAAATGTTTTGAGCTACCTGCAGAGCAGCATGGTCGGCAGCATTGTGTGGCTAATTAACACCACAGACCAGTTTGGTTTGAGTAAACTGAGACGTGCAGAAAGACAACAAACTGCTTAATTGAAAAATAGCTTGAAGGTCTGATCATCCTCTCCTCTAGAAATACCTGTGGGAAGAGTCCTTGCCAACAAGATCTTCTCCCTTCCACCTGAATAAACATAGGATTTGCCCCTGTCTCTGGGCCCCTCAAGGATTGGTTCTCTAGCCCCAATCAGCCAGCACTTCCTCTTCCTGGAGATTCCATGGAAGAGCGAGGTACAAACCAACTACTGCGACCTGGCATCTTTTTTTGGATAACACTTTTTAGATACCAAGTAGATCTTTGGGGGAAGAAAGTTATGCACAAACTCCCTGTCCCATCCTGTCTTCCTCCATCTTTCTGCTTAAGCAGACCCAAGTCCAGATATTGAAGAGGGCATTTCCTATGGCTATTTATTTCAAGAAAGTGACCAGACTCCAAGGTTTTGAAATGTTTTTGGAATATCAGATGGTGTCAGTGCACAGGTAAGGGGGTAGTTTTGTGTGTGTCATGTTATTTCAATTTGTTGCCCCTTTAAAGACGAGAAAGCGATGAATAACAGAATGGTACTGATTTGAATTTTAATCAGAAGTGTTTAAGTCTAATAGTCTTCCTCAAATGCCTGCTTGCTGTTCTTTCCCATTTGAAAACTGTAACACATGTCCCTTGGGCACATGCATATGCATCCTTCTCACTAGAGCCAAATTATAATTGGGAAAGTGCTACAGGAGAAGGTCTCTACACGTGTATGACCCGCACAAGGGCCAATTACAATAGCAGTTCTTGCTTGTTAATTACTTGCCCTGGCAAAAAGATTGTCTGACAGATTAGTGAGGAGGCAGAGCCATGTGCTACTCTCTGCATAGGCCCATGAAGTAGTGTGTGTGTTGCTGGAGAGCACCAGAAGATAATGTGTTACATGAGACCTTACTGTGTTCCCTCAGGCACTGTGATTGACTCTCTTCTGTGCCCTATGCAAGACTATGTGTAAATCACACAATCTAGTTCTATATGTTGTAAAAAGAATCCAAGATACAAGAAGAACCCCTTCAAAGAAATTGGAGTGCAGAAGGACTACTAACATTTATACTGACAGATGAAGTGAGAAAAATGAGATGCAGCAAGGAAAATAAAAGGACTGACCAAATTTTCTTCCACTTTTGAATCTGGGAAACCAGGCCCCAGGAATAACTCGTAACATTCCAGAAAGCAGCTAATGTTACACAGTGAATCTCAGTGCTGCTGTGCTCTTTCCAGCTAAGCATTGGGTAAAGTATATCAGCAGAATCTACAGCTATTTGTTTTGGGAAACTAATTTGATGGAAAAATTGCTGGAGAAAGATGAGATGTTGTCTCAACAAATGCCTCTAATATACACACTGGACTGTCAGACACATCTTTCTCATGTTTAGACACCACAGTGAGATTTTATTAGCTGGGTTCCACTCCTCAACTGTTACATTAGTTCATGTGGGTAGTTCCACAGACTTCAGTGGGGCTATTTGCAGGAGTAAGGGTTGTAGGATTGGGCCATTGGTATATCGTCGTTATTTCTACATGGCCATTGTTATGCGGTGTGCTTCCTGTTTTACTGACAAGTAGACTTGACTCTGCATTACTGTCTATATCTGTGCAAAGTGGGGGTAAAATGTGACCAAAGAGTCAGACTTCATCACCCATGTTCACTTTTCCTAGCTGTAAGTGGCTATACAAAGTGCAAAGTGGTGGAATATCAAGTCCATACACCCGCTTGCAGACCTGACGTGAGGAAAGGAATATCAAACAAAAGGGAGCGTGAAAGGAGTGTGCTTATAATTCTTGCATGGGCAGAACAGCGAAAAGGAAAATAGCATGTTTGTTATCAATGCAGTAGGGATTTAAGCGACTAGTTGACTACCCAATAAGCAGAGGCACAGCAGGGAAACGGCACGACTGCCGCACCTCTGCCTTTGAAATGTAGCAAGAGCCCCGTGGGCAGAGGCGCAGCTGGGATAACGAGCACTCCACCTCCCCCTTATCGACTAATCGAGTAGGTGATGGCAATTCCATCGACTATTTGATTAGCTGATTAATCAAAATTTAGCATCTCTACAATACAGTGAGGTTCTCACATAACTGACTCTCTTTTGGGGGGAGAAGAATGAAGATAAAGGTTTAAATTTTACTCAACCAACCAAAATGTGTTTCCATTTTTTCCTTCCCCTAAAATAACCATGTAATAACTTCCTATGATATCAGGAGTGACTAGTCAAGATCTATGGGGACATTGTTGTTATTTAAAACTATACTGGTTTGTTCACAATAGTTTCTAGAGATTTGAAGAATTTTTGACACCCCTTGTGGTGGTGGTTCTGCTGCTGTCTCTCTTCTTTAGAATTGCTACCTCTGTTGGCTCTGTTTTTAACCCAGCAGTTTTCCATTATAAGGGCAAAATCGTGCTCTCCTTCTAAACATGAGTACAGCAAGCAGGATTTGACCTATATATCGTTAATGTCAAAATGTTCTAAAGCTGTTGCTTTCACATATCACTTCAGAAGTGTGAGAAAAATCTGTGCTTCTAAAACTAAGCGAATAAAATAATTGGATTGTGCACTTGCAGAATATCTGAAAGAGAATGTACTCCCCAACTAGGTACAAGGGATATGAAAGTGTAAACATGTGCATTGGTTAACCTCTGCTGAAATTTTCAGTGGTTACACGTTAACCTAAATAAATGCATTTTTACTAAATACTAGATAGCAGAATTCATTTTATTTGTTTAACATTGCATTTTTTTGTTCATCTATCAATAGGATCCTTACTATAGGTTTAATGACCTGGCCTTCAGATGGATCTCCTTGGATAATTGGACATACAGCAGAACATTCAAAGCCCCTTTTGATGTCAGGTATGAAAGAAGAACAGCTTTATGCTATCTTCCATGCAGATTGCTTGTTAAGCAGTCAGCCCCAAATCTACATACAGTAAACTTCCAATAATCCGACACCTTTAGGACCCAGGGGGTGCCGGATTATCAGATATGCCGGACTATCAGAAGGGGGGGCTATGAGGGGTCTGGAGTGAGGTGGGAGGGGATGCCACCCCAGACCTCTCATAGCCCCCCCCTTACGATAGTCTGGCTCTGCCCCAGGCATCCCTGATTCAGCCGCTGCTGAAACAGATCAGCGGCTGATTCCAGGAAGCCCGGGGCAGAACTGCTCTGCCCGGGGCTTCCTGGAATCAGCCGCTGATCTGTTTCAGCAGCGGCTGACTTGGGGACCCCTGGGGCAGAGCAGCTGGGGTCCTGCAGGGTTGGTCCCGCAGCGCCGTCCTTTGGCGCTGAGGGACCAACCCGGCAGCACTCCAGCTGCTCTGCACCAGGCGTCCCCAAGAGCAGCTGGGGTGGTGCCAGGTTGGTCCCGCAGCCCCGAGGGGCAGCGCTACGAGACCAACCCAGCAGCACCCCAGCTGCTCTGCTCCCGGCTTCCCCGATTCAGCCGCTGGTCAGTTTCAGCAGCAGCTGAATCGGGGATGCCTGCAATAGAGCAGCTGGGGTGCTGCCGGATTGGTCCCGTAGCGCTGCCCCTCGGGGCTGCGGGACCAACCTGGCACCACCCCAGCTGCTCTTGGGGACGCCTGGTGCAGAGCAGCTGGAGTGCTGCCGGGTTGGTCCCGCAGCCCCGAGGGGCAGCGCTACGAGACCAACCCAGCAGCACCCCAGCTGCTCTGCTCCCGGCTTCCCCGATTCAGCCGCTGGTCAGTTTCAGCAGCAGCTGAATGGGGGAAGCCTGTTCAGCTGCCCTAGCACTTCCGGGTTCCTGATGGTGCTGGACCATCAGGAGTCCCGGAGCATTGGATGCCGGACTAATGGAGTTTTACTGTACTACTTTTCAGATGAAATAAACTAAATTCTGTAATGGAATATAAGCTTCAAACAACCTGTTGCTATGTGGGTTCCTTGTTCTTTTTTCAAGACTTTTTTCCCTATTGTCAAAAATGATGTACAAGTTGCTAGCTGCTGAAGGGCAATAATAAAGCTAGTATGAAGCAGACAGCAACACATCTGATAGCGATTGGACATGGGATGTTGTGCTTTATTGTGAGACTGATCTGTATCATCTATCATTTTAATTTGAAATGATAAAGATGGCTACACTGACAAAAGCTCATCAAAACAGCTGCTATTCAGGGTATTGGGGACATGGATTTCAAAGTACCCTAATAATTTTACGTTCCTGTGTCATCATTCATAGCAAATGGCAGAAAGTGAATTTGGTTTTCGAGGGAATAGATACAGTAGCGCAAATCCTGATCAATAATGTCTCTGTTGGGAGAACGGACAACATGTTCAACAGATATGTGAGTAATACTGGTATTTCTAATGGCAATTCTACAGTTCTACAATTCTTAAAGCACTTTTCTGCCAAGCAATTTGTACCTAGACAAGTACATAGTAATACCTTTAGTGTGTTCAGTCCAGAGTAATGATGGGCACCTGGGGCCCACAGGCACATGCAGCCCATCAGGGTTCTATGTGTAGCCCACAAGACATTTTATTTACCATTGCCCACAGCCAAGGTTGCCAGATTCTGCTGGTTTCTGTTCACATAGGTTTTATTCCTACTGGTATTACTAAAGTGACACACAAGAAAAGCCAGGGCGGGTGAAGTCAAGTGTATTGATTTCATGCAACAGTGACGATGAGAGCCACGTGCTCTCTCTGCATCCAATCAAAGCGCTGCTACAACTCAATTGGCATACCATGCAATTAGCCAAATTACCTTATCCCAGGAGACCATCTTGGTTATGGAAGTCTTGCAGCCTACTGAGATGGAGGGCCACTTGTGGTCCACTCACTAGCATAGGTTGCCCACCACTGGTCTAGGTTAAAATGGTATAGACTAGATTTGATAATATGTCATAGGGTTTGAAATGGCTTTATCTGAGAACCACACAAAGCCATGTGATTACTGGGAAATGGAGATACATTGGCTCTCCAGTGGGAGTAAGATCAGGCTTAGAGAAGAACATTTCATGTTATAATCTACAAGAAGTATCACAATAGAAACAATTTACCTAATAATGTGAGTCTTGCTTCTTAGAATGCCTGGAATGTGAAAGTGGAAGTGTAAATGCATGCAGTGTAAAGCTTACTCTAAATATTTGTATGCAGTTTCTTTCTTGCTTGCTTTTCTTTCTAATATAGTTTCTAATTCCCAGGCCTTTTGATGTGTAGTCTTTTTGGTGCTAGTCTATATCAGTATGACAGGATGGGGATCTGAGTAGTCACAGTCAACATTTACCTTCATAGCTTTAGAGAAAAAAGGGTTTTATGGCTAAGGAACAGAGATAGAATTTAGGAGCTATGGATTCGGTTCCCAGCTTTGCCCCAAAGTTGAGTGACCTGAAAAACATAGCCTTTTTGTGCCCCAGTTCCCTATCTGTGAAATAGGAACATTAATTCTTCTCTTTCACAGGGGTCTTGTGACGTTTTGGTTAATGTTCGAAGATATCAAAGTAGTTTTTAGATAGAAGAGGCGGTAGAATTGCAAAGTATTATTATTCAGTATTTGTTTCTGTATCTTCTTTTTGGTATGCCCCCTACTAGCATCTGCTTTGTGGAGTGTAGAGAGTTTAATCAATTAAGCATCAACTTATCAGTTAAATGCTTATCACTTAATGGCCTTGGTTAAACTTAGGCAGCTCCTGGGGAGGCAGCTTTTCTGTGGCAGAACAGCAAAGCCTTCTCCCTGAGAACTGGGCGGGCAAGGGCTGGTGGCCCCGCTCCTGAGGCAGCTTTGCACTGCAGAGTGGGCGTGCATGTAACCATGGAACTGCTAAGCTTTTTAGCAAATACACAATTACCATTTACCACGATTTTCAACATCCCTAGTGAAGTGATTGTGTAAAGTAGAATTGAACTGCTGAGGATGAAGTCAAGGAATGCATGACTCTGATAGTTCAGTGGCTCCATATGTAAAACACTAGTGGTAAGTCTACACTGTGGAAATTGAAAATGGTGTAATTTGTTGCGTGGTGGTCTGCTGCCTGGTCAAAGACCATGGCTACTGATTGTGCAGAGGGGCAGAGGCACTTATGCTTGGTAGAAATTCAAGAAACCTCAAACTCCTGGTGGAGAAAACTCTCATATCAACCAAATGAAATCTTGGTTTTACCAGGTGAAATTAAATTGAGGAGTGAGTATACCGGTGAGAGCATAAGAGTTCTAAAACTAAATATGTGCCTTTCTGTCCATCCACTTTTGGAGGTAGGGATGTCTAACAGGTCAATAAATAAGTCCCAGAGAGAGTTCTTTGCTCAGTGCAGAGATGCCAGTGTATCTATATTTTAGAGAAGGGAGTGGAGAGACAGGGAGCTACACTGCACCACAGAGTAAGGAGGTTAAGAGGTGGGTAATTGGCTAATTGTGTAGCTGATACAGTTGGTATTGACTACATGATTAATAAGGGAAGGCGCTCAGTCCTGGCTTGCGCCAGGTCCAGGAGCTACTCCCGCTGTGGCTCTGCAGTTGAAATGCAATAGGAAACAAGTGCACAGGCCAGGTGCCCTGCTTGTGCCTGGTCCTGGACCGCTGCGGCTCTGCATTTTTTAATGTAGAAAGAACCGGCCTGGCTCTTACTACATTTAAACTGCAGAGCCGCAGCAGGGGGTAGCGCTTGGACCCAGCACAAGCTGGGACTGAACTGGGCTTGCTCAGTCCTGGCTCACATTGGGTCCAGCAGCCCCTGTCCATGGGGGGGTCCCAATAGGGAGCTGCCTACCTCCCCCTGTGGACAAAGGCTGCTCTGGCAGCAGTCACTGTCTGGGGGGGGTGTCCCGACAGGGAGCTGCTCCACAGGATGCAGAGCAGCCTGTGTTTGTGGTGATCCTAGGCCCACTGCAGGCAGAGGCTGCTTCACTGCAGTTTCTCCTCTCCCTTCCCCCCTCTTCCCCGCCCCCCCTCCCCCGCTGCTGCCTCTTCTAGAGGCAGCAACACAGGGAGGGGCAGATGGCACTGCGGAGATGGTGCTAGGGGGAGCCGGCTTAAAAGGCAGAGGCAGCAAGGGGGCGTGGAATACGAGTAGTCAAGTAGTCAACTCGCTACCCAATAATCCTAGGCTTATCTGGTAGTTGACTTGACTACTTGCTTGAATGCCTACCTTGGAGCAGAGGATTATATAAGGTTCAGCTCAGTACTCAGTCTACCAAAGATCAGACTCTGAAGACCCCCATGCTTCACAGCCCAAGCTACATCTTCAAAGTGTTGTTTGCATAGCTATTTTTACAGTTTTAGTGTGAGCCCTGCTAGCCCAAATCTGTCAATTTGGAGTGGGAGGCTCACTTCTGTGGGCTATGTAGACAGCAATAGATTACAGCAGTGTTTCCCAATTTTATTTGGCCCCGGAATCCTTTTTAGTTTGAAAGAATTTCAAGGAACCCCTAGATTCTGAGCAAAAAAAGACCCACCACGATATGTTGAACCAAAAAACCCCCCCCCCCAAAAACATGCTGAGTCCTGCCGCAGTTTGTCTCTGTCTCTTTAAGCGGGGCCGGGGAAGTGCCGGGTTCTTGTGGAACCCTTACTTTCACTTTGCAGAACCCCAGCGTTCTGCGGAGCACCAGTTGGGGAAACACTGGATTACAGGTACCTGTAGACTGCAATGAGGTTAAGGATCGTGCCCAGAAGGAGCTGCATGTTGGACTTAGTGTGCTTTTTCCTTCAGTTTGAGGGGTCTTCTAATTCTCTTTTCCTCCAGTACTGCAACCTGTAAAGACTAGTTCACCAGTATATTCAGTTAATATCTGTAGGATTTAAAAGAAATATTCCAATCTATATAAGATCACAACTAAACATCAGTTTTGCTTTTGCTTGTTCCTGATGCAGAGCTTTGATATTACCAATGTGATCGAAGAGGTCAGTTTTATTGAGGTCCGTTTCTTATCAGCCATTTCATATGCAGCAGAGCAGAGCAGATCTCACAAAGCATACAGCGTGCCTCCACAGTGCCCTCCACCCGTGCAGAAAGGGGAGTGCCATGTTAATTTCCTCAGAAAGGTAAGGACAGAATTGTGTGTGCGCGTGTCTGTGTCTAGAGGCCTGGATGCCAGAATGCACAATGAACTGACATAATGCATTCTGAATCGTGCAGTATATTTTCATCCCTAAAGCAAATTTTTCATAGCAAAACAAAACAAAAAAAACCCCCTCATAATCCAAAACATAGATCTAGTTTATAAGAGTCATAAAAAGGCCAGAGTAGTGATCTGAGTGGCAGGAATTTGTAAAAGATTCTCTTTATCAGGTGTTAGCAAGGAGACTGACAGCTAGAAGGATGTTTCTGTGGGGGGGAGGTGAGGGAGATTGTGCAGCCCCTATCAGTCTGTCCAGTGAGTGAATTTAGCAAGGAATAATGGCAGCAGCTAGCTGTTATGAGTGCCAGAACTTATTACCAGGGCTGTGAAAATCTCAGCCAAGCATCTTTGTGAGTGTTTGCCATTGCTCATGTGCTGTGCTATTTATATTGTACAGCTCTGACATGTGCTGAGAAGAGTTACCTAACGGAGAGCCCACTTCCATCTTATTAAGGTGTTGTGAAGCATGATATAGATATATAAATATGTATTAAGTTAAAATTACAGACTAGCACAGAACTGCCAAAGCTGGGAAAGTTTGTCTTAAGTACACACTGTTATAACTACCTACGGCGGAATATCTTTTTTTGTAGGAGCTCATGCTGTTCGGAAAGAGCCTTGTTGTATCAAGGCATAGTTGTGAAAACATGTTCCAGAATTGCCTTTCTTTTGCTGGTTTGTGACAGTGTAAATGCCTTCTGGGCAAAGTTACCCCATATTCTCAGTGGAGACCTACAAATGCTCCATTTTTCAATTACCTCAAACAGCATTACCAGAATCCTTTTGACCTATGACTGAATGTACTTTAACCCATCAAGAAAGGACTTGGTGCTTTGTTCCTTATGGAAATCCCTTCCCTTCTCTCCTTGGGGCTGAAGAAGACATTGTCTTCACAACTATTACAATCCCTGCAGATTGCAATTAGAACTAGGCATAGCTAAACACTAATCTCTAAGCCAGCCCTGATTATCCTTGCTATGGTTGACTTTAATATCTAAGGGGGAGGAAAAGAAATATAGAGGATTCACTTTTATCATGAAAGTTAATTAAAAGTTGGAAAGTTGTTTAATTCTGCAGATTCCATATGTTGTTTCCACTGTGTTTGTTAGAAATCAATGTGGGGGCCGGGGAAGGAGCTTGAACAGCTGTAGTCCTATTTATAGAGGTGAAATGGCTAGGAATGTTTTTTATACTTTGCTGGGCTATATATTTAAACTCGTAAGACTTGTGGAAAGTACCTTCATTGATTCTATCCTCAAAGGAATTGCATTACTCTACTTGCAGATTGCTTGGAATGTTTCCTAAAATGGCTTTAATTTCAAACATATGGGTGTATCAGCAAAGCTGCCATATTGGAAAGTAAATAAACACAACCTTTTTCAAGTTAGAGTCTTGCCATTGTAGAGAAATGGAAAGCTATGTGTAGGTGTATAAGGTTCACTGTTAAGAATCTTAAACTCATCTAAATCTTCATGAGAGAATTGTGACCTAATCACCTCAGACCCACACAAAAAAATGTATTGTTTAATTCTTCAAGGTGAGCATATTGCTCTTGTGGCCTTTTACAAAATGATAAACATATAAGGGATTATATTAATGAAACCTGAAAGTTTATCAGTGATGCAGTTAAAAAAAAAAGAAAAACACTAACCCCATCCAGGACTCTTTTCTAAGAACTACCGTAGTTGTCCCTGGGGTTACATTTGAAATTGGCACATTGCTTTCTTCCCAGAAGAAGCTTTTGCAACTTGATAGAAAGGCAAGCGAGCTCCTGGAATGGAAGGAATAGGTTTGACTAACACTGACGCTTGCCAAAATTAGTATGCCTCAGCTGGTCTCTAAATTTAGGGCTATAGGTCACTGTACAAGACTTTAACAAGATCTATTGTGTTTTGCATGGGGCTTTGGAGGTCAGCTCAGTAGATATCTTAAAAGAGATGCTGTCTTGTATTTTTAAAAGAGGCCATGCTATGCCACAAGGATTTAATTTCTGGCAATTTGTGTAGACACAATGTCATTTTCCTATTTTTTAAACATGGTTATTTTTTCCTCCATTTTTTGTTGCTATATGACAGAGCCATGCAAACAAAAGGCAGAAACAGTGAACCTGATTGTTACCAGTTACACCTCAGACAAGTAGAGATTAGCAATGCAGTGTAATTGTTTGGTGCATGTGGTGTACAATCATAGACATAACATTTTCATCTTCCTGAGATACTTAGATTAATAACATCATATTAAATTATTGTAAACACCTTTATCCACGTGCTATTCCTTTCTTTGTCCCTTACATTAACATTAAAGGATGACATTAAGACTGTGAACTGTCTTGAAAATAACTACTAATTTGCTGCTCTTGAATTTTTTGCTGTGTTTTTTTTACAGGGAGAGGGAGAGGTGTGATTTTTCTCTCCCACTAATTTTATGTATTTTTAATTCCCAGCAGAATTTAGCCAAGAAGTGAGGAGAAGATACAGTAGGTTCTTCTTGAGTGATTGGAATTTCTAAAACCTTTTATTTTGTGTATAGGAATATTTTATTTAGCTACAGTGGATAATTTTTATAAATAATCTGTTTACTTTCTGGAACGATAACACTCCCTATGAAGAAAATACATATTTGTGATACATCTGCCTGTATTCCAGGAGCAGTGTTCGTTCAGTTGGGACTGGGGTCCCTCTTTTCCCACTCAAGGAATTTGGAAAGATGTTAGAATTGAAGCCTATAATCTTTGTCACCTGATCTACTTCACCTTGACTCCCAGCTACGGTAAGTCATGATGATATTGCCCTTCATTCTTGGTTCACTTGAGAAATGCAGCAGTCTTATTCAAAGTTTACTTAGGGTGCCGCTACACAGCAGGGCTTAACTCGAAATAAGCTACACAAATTGAGCTACGTCAATTGCATAGCTTACAGGCAGTCCCCGGGTTACGTACAAGATAGGGACTATAGGTTTTTTCTTAAGTTGAATTTGTATGTAAGTCGGAACTGGCTCCAGATTCAGCTGCTGCTTCTGAAACTGACCAGGGGCTGACTACAGGAAGCTGGAGGCAGAATTGCTCTCCCCCCAACTTCCTGGAATCAGCCACTGATCAGTTTCAACAGCGGCTGAATCTCGAGCCTGGGACAGAACAGCTGGGCTGCCAGGTAGGTCCCTGCAGGACCAACCTGGCAGCACCCCAGCTGCTCTACCCCAGGGTCCACAACAAAAGCCTGGTCTGCTGGGGGAGGGGGGGGGGCGCACTAGCTGCACCCTCCCCCCCCCCCAGCAGACCAGGGACATGGGGAGCAAAGCGGTGGCGGGGTGCCGGCGCCTCTGAGGCTTTGTCACAGCAAAGCCTCAGAGGCACAGGACCCCTCCGCCTCCCCGGCTTTGCTCCGGGTGTCCCTGGTCTGCTGGAGACGGTCTCCAGCAGACCAGGGGCACCCGGAGCAGCTTTTCTCGCCCCGGAGGTCGAGGTGGCGGGACTGCTGCGCTCTGGGCGGTCCCGCTGCCTCCGGGGCGAGAGAGCCCCGTTTGTAAGTGCGGATCCGACATAAGTCGGATCCATGTAACTCGGGGACTGCCTGTATTTTGAAATTGAAATTGGGAATGTCTACACAGCAGTTATTTCAAAATAGAGCACTCTTCCTCTGACAAATATGTGTTTGTTTTACCTTTGGCCTATTATGTTGTTTAGGAGCATTTATTTTGCATCAGCTTATGTGTTCACCTAAACTTCCAGTGTAATTTGCTCTTTTCTGTCCCCTAACTCTCATGTTTTTATTTAAAAACGAACAGACAGAGATAGTGCTGCTGTTAAAGCCGTAGTTCTGTCTTGCGTAGAAGAGGACAGTCTGAGCACAGGGTCA